TGAGTTAACTTTGTCCTGTAGCTTTAACAAGGAGTATTTACATAAAACTAGCCTTAAACTAACTTAGTTTTCATATGCTACTAACGCTAATTTGGCTTATACTAATTTGACCTAACATATGTTAATTTTGGCTTAAAACAGACAAGTGGGGGAGTCTTGCGTGCTGTCTTAGGAAACCACATTCCTACAAGATCACTAATTGGCTTTATTGTAATGGTTGGGGGTGATATTTTTACCCTTGCAGGGTACCATAATAATAGTAAAGCTCATGGCAGAGAAATTGAGTGCAGGCCAGTACAGCAACACAAGGTGTCGAGGGGGGTGGGGGGAAGTTCGTAAACCATTGGCCTTGCCTTGCAGTTTCTTCCCAGCCCAGGTCCTGCCTTAGGTATGGGAGTCAGCCTCTTTACCAGCTTGTGTTGTCTGCATGGCCCTGTCACCATTGGTTATAGGACCAGCAGTTAGTGTAATGGCTATGTCGCTGGACTCTCATGTAGTCAACCGCGGTTTGCGTCCCAGACCCAGTGGCTTAAACTCACGCCGGGGGCATGTACGTGTGTGTCCAAGATCCCGAGAGGAGAATGGAGGAGGAAGGATTGCGGCATGGCCATCCCCCCTGGAGGGTGATTTCTCGCTTTCTGTCTCTTTGTCTCTCTCTGTCTGTCTGGTGAGCGCACACGCCCTATAGCAAAATTTTCCTTGGTATAACAAAAAAAAATAACCATTGGTTATATAGTCTATTCATTTAGGTAGAAAAGAATACGTGGGTAGAATAAAATGTTTCTTAGTGATTTACATACTGTATTCTGCATATATGTAATAGACTTCAAATTTGACAGACACATTCTTCTAAAATTGAATAATGAAAACTGAATGATCCTTTTCCTAGTTTACACAAAAGAACAAGTTATAAGGGATAATTTATCAATTTCAGATTTCTTATGTATTTAAAAAGTCATGCATATAATACATGTGTAGACATAAAATTATATATTGACTTTTTTTCTAAATTTAATTTTTTTTTAGCTTTTTTCATAGGGCACATGTGCTCACCAGAGAGAGACAGAGAGAGGGAAAGAAAGAAATCACTCCTCAGGGTTGATGGCCACGATGCAATCCCTTCTCCTCCATTTTCCTCTTGGGATTTGGGCATACATGCACCTGCTGTGAGTTTCAAGCCACAGGGGCCAGGGCTTGAACTGCGGTCAGCCATGTGGGAATCCAGTGTCTTAACAACCTTTCTACCTGCTAGCTCCTAACATGTTATTTTGATGATTTTTTTTATACTGTTGATTTTTTTTTTCTTGGAGACATTTTTGCTATAAGGAGTAAGTGCTTGCCAGAAAGACAGAAAGTGAGAAATAACAGCCCCCATCCCCAGGCCTATTGCTTAGTTGTGAAAACGAGATAACCAAAGAGGTAAAAGAATAGCCAGAAAAGTATAATTCACAGAAACCAAAGAATAGTATTTCAAAAACTAAGAAATGGTCAATAATGTTAATTATGGCCATGGTTAAAAAAAAAACCTATTGGATTTAACAACATGCTAAACATATGGAGAAACACATGGCAAAAATGTTTTCTTTGTCATGGATACAGAATCCATCCTGGGAGGTGGTGATTGAAAAATGCTAGGGAACTAAGACCATAGTGTATAGTAAATTAATTTATAAGTAAATACGGCTCTTGAACCTGTAACATATACTCCACTTAAGGTTTTATAGAAAATTTGTAGGCAATTCAGATTGCTTTACTTAATATCCCAGGTTGGCTTTTAGGAGAGATTCCCTAAATTAATCTCTTTACTTGGTGCTAGTTTATTAGTTGAATAGTTTAAAAAACAAAAAAACAAAAACAATCAACTAGTTTTATTGTTCAAAGACTGCCTATACATTTTTCTTTCTATTCACTCTTGCTTCCTTTCCACCTGTTCTGAATTCCTTTTCCTTGTATAAAAAAAATCCCTACACAAAGTCTTAGCCTTTGCTTAGCTAAAGAAAATGACATAATAGGTCAGATAAAATTACTCCAAATACTTCCTGCTAATTCCATGGCATTTCTGAAACAAATTTCTTTTATATTTTTATTTATTTATTTATTTATTAGAGAGGTTTTTGCTATAGTGCACACGTGTTCGCCAGAAAGACAAAGAGAGACAGAGAGACAGAAAGCGAGAAATTACTCACCAGGAGGGATGGCTGCAATCCCTTCTCCTCTTTTCTCTTCTTGGGATCTTGGGCACACTCTCACATGAGCTCGGCATGAATTTAAGCCACTGGCTCTGGGACTCGAACTGCAATTGACTACATGGGAGTCCAATGGCATAGCTATTACACCAACTGCTGGTCTTCCCAAATTTCTTTCTTCTTCTATTTTTCAGAATTATTTTATTTAACATTTATTTATTTACTAATTTTAATTTGATCAGAGAGGAACAGAGAGAGAGAGAGAGAGAGAAGAGAAAGTGAGAAAGCAAGTCGCCAGGTCTGGGACTTGAACCACAGTCGGCCATGTGGGAGTCCAGCGGCCTTAACCACCATGTCACCTGCTGGCCTGAATTTCTTTTTTTTTAAAATTAATTAATTTAATGAATGAGAGAGACAGAAAGAGATAGAGACAGAGAGAGAGCAAACCAACAGAATCTGAATGTTGCAATACACCCCAACTTCAGCCAACCCCAGGTTATGGACAACAGTATGCTCAGTGTACTCAGGTGAACCTTCCCACGCAGTCAGCCTCACAGAGTGTCACATATTATCACTGCACCACCATCCAGTGTGCCTGAAATGAAATTCAGTCCTTGCCAACCTACTCCTTCTGTCCCATTTTCAATTTCACTTTCAATCAGTTGCTTAGGATGTTCTAAATACAAGTCCTTAGAACTCGTTCAATTCCTGCTACCAAACAAAATACTTATGTCCATATTCATTTTATCTTCCTTTCCTCCTATTAAAGCAGAAATATTGTTTCTCCTCATGCACAGACTTAATTCTTTTACTGCCATTCTGGAACATAGTTCCTTTTTGCTTCTCAAGAAATTTTGATTAATTATTTTCTCTTACATATTCAATTTATCTCATTCAATTGTGTCCTTCCTTTCAGCTTTTAAATGTGCTCATTTATCTTTCATCTCATGCCATGTTATCATCCAACTATAGGCCTATTTTTCTGCCCTTCATGAGGCAATTTTTAAAAATCATTATTTTCTGAAGTTTGCTAGAGGGTGTGTGTGCTTGCCAGAGAGGGGAAGAAAGTGAGAAAGCATCCCCTGTAGGAGATGGTCATGCCAAAATCCCTGTTCCTCCATTTCTCTTTTCAGGATTTTGGGCATGCACTCACACACCCCTGGTATGTTTTTCAAACCACCATTTCTGGGACTCAAACCACACAGTTGGCCATATGGAATCCAGCCACCTTAGCCATCAAAAGCATTATTTTATATGCAAGCTTTCTCACATTAGGCAAATAGTCATTAAATTATTGTCAGGGAAAAGAGATTTTTGGTTTTTTTTTGAGAAGTTTTTCTATAGGGTGCATGTGCTCGCCAGAAAGACAGAGACAGAGAGACAGAAAGTGAGAAATCATCCCCCGGGGGGATGACCACACCACAATCCCTTCTCCTCCATTCTCCTCTTGGGATCTTGGGCACACACGCACACGCACCCAACGTGAGTTTAAGCCACTAGGTAGCATGGTGGTTAAGGGTGCTGAACTCCCACATGGCTGACTGCTGTTTGAGTCCCAGACCTGGTGGATTGTTTTCTCACTTTACCTCTCTCGTTCTTTGCCCCTCTCTGGCCAAATTAAAATAAATGAATAAATAAACAAATAAATGAAGTAAAAAATAATTTTTTAAGACAAATAGAGATGAGCTGTGGAGCATATATTATAGGTTCAAGAGCCATATTTATAAATTAATTTACTATACACTGTGATCTTAGTTCCCAAGCATTTCTCAACCACCATCCTCTAGGCTGGATTCTTTTTTGAAAACCCCTCTCTGGCCATTTAATTTGACTAGGGAGAGAGAGAGAGAGAGAGAGAGAAAGAAAGAAAGAAAGAGAAAGTGAGAAAGCCATCCACCAGGTTCAGAACTCAAACCATGATCAGCCATGTGGGAGTCTAGCAACCTAACCACCATGCCACCTGCTGGTCCCTAAGCTGGATACTATTCCATAACAAAGGAAACATTTTCTCCATGTTTCCGAGTATTTTATATGTTGTTAAATCCAATAGATAGATATTTTTTATTTTTTTACCTCAGCCATCTTTAACATTATTGACCATTTCTTTGTTTTTGAAACACCATTCCTCTGGTTTTTGTGAATTATACTTTCCTGGCTATTGTTTTACCTTTTTGTATCTCCTATTCAGTGTTCTCCTTTGCATGACAGGTTAATGTTAGCGTGCCTCACCATTTCATCTTACACCTTTCTTTATTTTTCTTTTCTTTCTTTCTTTTTTTTTTTTTTTTAAATTCTAAACAGAACTCTGAAGGAAAGCTTATTCTTCCTCCACTGCCTCACTAGATCTCTACTGACAAAGATTAACATCATGCTAACTGTCAAGGAAGAAACATCCCACTATCACAAGCAAAACAATGAAGAATGTGTTTTTGAGATGAAAGACAAATTGATAGCCATACCTAATTGATACATTACATTTTAGACTCAATTTGTGATGGGCAACCGTTTCTTTGGGAGCTTGCTGTTGTCTATAGTGTTTCCATAGGCTTCTTGCTTCCTTTCTACTAGTTCTGAATTCCCTTACCTTATCTCCCCTATACTCAATCTCAGCCTTCCAGTACATTGTCAAGCATTTACCTTTTGCTAATATATTCTAATCACATTCTAGGTTGTCATTACTACCTAGCTAGATAAAGTCTCTGTTCTGAATCCTCAGTGTTAAGATTTCTCTTTGGTAGGTTCTAAGACCATGCTTTGACTTCATTTTTTTTTCTTCTCCAGCTTTACCTTTCATTATAAAAATTGAGTGCATCTCTGCTGTTCTCTGGTTTAAACTTCTTAACCTCAATTGCTACCGTTTGTGTTTATTTCCACATATTGGTTCTTGATAGATTTCTTTCACTATGGTTTTGGACATTCATACTTGCTGAACTTTCTTTAAGTAGATCTATTCCCTGGAATAGTAATTATGGTGTGTCATCTTATTCTGTCAGTCTTACTGAACATCCTCATTACTAATTTTGTTTTAGCCTGGTCTATTGAGAAGGATGTGAAATGCCCAGATGGTTCTTAGGCATGCGGGATGAGGAATGCCAGCTTTATAGACCTTTATATATTGGCATCTGGAGTTAGTAGTGAGCAAATTACTGCCTTTCCATAATTTATCAGAATAAGAATATTCTTAGAAAGAATTTAGGACAAGCAACTATTCTAGAATTATTCTTATAAATATTTTGAGTTACATTTATTGTTATAGAACTTGCCTAAAATTCCTGTATATTAAAATAATAGATATCAGGCTTGACATAAAATTCATCACTGAACTATAATTCTATTGATAAATAATTGCTCATATATTTGTGAAATGTCATATCAATATTTGACTATAGCTGAAGATAAGACTAATGTAAAAATGACTTATTTGATAAAGGAAATAATGAAATTTCTTTGATGTGTTGAAAAAAATGGGTACCTCCTAAATAACTGGTTAATTTTATTATTTTAGATAAGTAAAGATCAAACTCTTTTAGAAGCAGAGCTTCTAGCAGCTGATAAAACAATCAGCATTGCACAACTAGTAACACTTATGCAAAAACTTGAAGACCTGAGAAATCGCCTTAAACAGGGGATTAAATTATCCTCTAGAACCACGTTGACTAAATCCATGTAAGTGAAATTCAAGAATTAATTGAGTTAAAAATGATAAAGGTGATGGCATAATTAGCATTGAGTATAAGATAGTAGGTCAGCTATTATGGTTATATGTAGAACTTCTAAATCAGATCAGGTCTAGTCAGCTATTTGAAAATTTTAAGAGTCTGAGATGGCATTGTCCAATGTACTAGTCACAAGCCACAGGTAGCTATGAAAATTAAAATTTGAGACCCAGTTGTAGCGGCACAGCAGTAGTGCAGTGCTCTGCAATGCTGGAGCCACATAGAAGATTGGTTCGTTCCTTGATTTACATGTGCACAGTGGTTGTGTGTATGTGTGATCCTGTGATCCGGGCTAGCTAGGAGAGGGAGTGGTGGGAGGAGATCTTGTCATGAGGCCTTGTTGAGAGTGCTTGTTTCTCAATAAATAAGCTTAAAAATTAAAATTTGATTTAATTCAATTAAAAAATCAGTTTCTTAGTCATATTAGTTAGATTTCAAGTGCTTAGTAGCCACATACAGCTATTGATAGAAAGTTCTATTGGACACTGCTGGCTTTGAAACATTTTGCTTATAAACTCTTTTCTCAGTTTGATCAGGTTACTCCTGGTAGTTAAAAGGAAACTATTTAAGGCTTAAATATTTCATTGTTCATGGACACATTTATTAAAAATTATATAAGCAGCTTATCCAAGGAAATATTTCTTACTTATAAATAACTATATTTTTGCATCAAACATGTACAAAACCCTTTTACTTTATAGTATGAAAATAGAAAGTACCTATCATTTGTACAGGTGGTTATTTATCATGTAGTTGCTTTATTGACATCTCTATATGTCAGTGATTATAAAGGAATGAAGGAAGAGGTACTTGAGTTGGCTCCCATGGGTATTGCAGAATTAGATCCTTAGTTCAGAGGGTCAGATATATTTGCTTGCACTATTTGTTATAAGGCATAAAATTATTTTCAGAACATGTATTAATATTAATACTTGATATTTAAATATCTACCATGTGCTAGATATTTTACAGGTAACTTTACATGTATAATCTTCTTTGAGAAAGGTATTATTGTACTCTTAATTTTAATAGACAAAGAAATAGGCCTAGAGGTTAAATAACTTACCTAAGTTCACATAAGTTGTAAGTGAATGAAATAGGTTTTGGGTCATATAGTCTCACTCCAAAACTTGCACTCTTAACCATTACACCATTAATAACAATACATGGACAGAAAGAAGTTCATGTTTCTACTCAATTTATTTTTGGAATACTTGCAGTTAGTGTTATACCTGGTTATATTTAGGGAACACATAGAACTCATAGTATTACATAGTTTGACTTTTATACATATTCATTTATTACTAGCTAATTTATTTGAGTGTGAATAAAGGTTAAATAATTTTTATTTTAAAATTTCATCACTATATATTGTACATCTTAATTCTTATCTGTGTAATTTAAACTCATAGATTTTGATGTCCTAAGATATGTTTTATTTATTGAAACTTCAACAGGGATAAAGAAAGTCAAATAAAAGCAGTGAAAAGTTATGAAATTATACAGCAGAAAATTGAAGGTGATAATATTTTATTTATGTTTAGCCTATATAGGGTTTCCTAAATGCATTCACATTTGAGATTAATGCTTTCACAATTACAAAATAATACAGTGGTAAATTTAAAAATCATTCACAGTAATGTAACAGTAATGCAGTGTTTCACAATGCTGGACCAACTTGGGAAGGTCCTGGGTTTGCATCTTGAGGTCCTCTTGTATGTGCCAAGCATATGTGTGCATGCACATTATCTGGGCTGGCTGGCAATGGTTTACAGCAGGAAGATGCTGTAGGGAGTGCTGATCTCTCTTTCTTCTCCTCTCTCTTTTTCTCTCTATCATGGAAGAACTAAATAGACATAAAAATATTCAATAGAGAGTTTGATACTGTGATAAAAGTTCTTATTATTATTTGCAGGTTCTAAGAAAATATAAAATGAGTACAACTTGGTTGTTTTGCCCATAAAATCACAGCTTAGTAAGGGCATAAACATATTACGTATAATTTCAATATAGTATAATGCATAGTAAAGACACATGTAATTTGCAGTGAGTCCACAAAAAAGAGCAATTTGTTCTACATGAAGACATTAGGAAGATGTACAACCTTAAAGGATATATAGGATTTAGTTAAGAGAAGAAGGGAGATATTTAGCATTTTATTTTATTAAAAAAATTTTTTTAGAGAGTTTTTTGCTATAGGGCACACGTGCTCGCCAGAGGGACAAAGGGAGACAGAGAGACAGAAAATGAGAAATCACCCCCCCCCGCCCCCCGCAGGGGGGATGTCCACACCAAAACCCCTTCTCCTCCATTCTCCTCTCAGGATCTTGGGCACACAGGCACACATGCCCAGCATGAGGTTTAAGCCAGAGGATCTGGATCTCAAACTGCAGTCAGCTATGTGGGAGTCCAGTGATGTAACCACTGTCCCATCTGCTGGTCCCGATTTAGCATTTTTAAAAGATGATAATAGCATAAATAAACAGCATATAGAGGGAATGACAACTAATTGGTGTTAGAGTATGAAATAATAGATGAGTTACTGTTTCTTGTATTACAGATGTTGGATCACTAGGAAAAGAGAAGAAAGGGGACAGATTTGAGAAATATTTACTTGGTAGAATAGAAAAACTTGGTGGTTTGATACCAAAGGGAAGGAGACTGGTACCATCAACTAGTATAAGAAAATATGAGGGAAAACAACTTACTAATTGCCAGAAGGTGTTAATTCCAGAGAGAGACAGAGAGACAAAGAGAGAGAAAGAGAGAGAGAGAGAGAGAGAGAGAGAAAGAAAACCACCCCCTCAATGGGGTGTAGTTCTATGTCATAATCCTTTCCCCTCCATTGGAAATTTGGGCATGCATACACATGTGCCTGGCATGTTTTTCAAGCCTCTAGGGCTGGTATTTGAACCACAATTAGCCATGTGGGATCCAGCTCTCTTAACCACTAGCCTATGGGGCCCACCTGAAAGCAAGTTTTGATGAGAAAATAATGATTTCATAATCAGTTGTTGCATATATCCTTTCAGAGGCTCGAGTGGAAGGATCCATAGTGTTGGCAGCTATTGCCATTTTTTATAGTTTTCTTTCTCTTGAATAAATTATTAAAATAAAAGTAATAAAACTTGTAACTCAATTACTATATGTAATTACTATTTAAAATTTATCATTTCAAATGCACTTTTAATTATTCCAGAATTCATAAAATCCCACTCATCTGATGAATTTGTAGATGTTTCTGCAACCGAATCACGTAAGTTTCCACTCATTTAAGCAACACTGTGTTAATAACTTCTGTTGAGTGTATTATTTATTTTTTGACATCAAATAATTTTTATTTCAGATAGAAACTTTGGTATAACAGCAACAATTTTGCTATAAGGCTTGTGCATTCGCTGGAGAGACAGAAAGTGAGAAATCACTCCCCTGTGGCATGGCCATGCCACAGTCCCTTCTCCTGGGATCTTGGGCACATAGGCACATGCACCCAGTGTGAGTTTTAAGCCACCAGGTCTGGGACTCAAACAACCATCAACTATATGGGAATACAGCAACGTAAAAATTACCCCATCTGCTGGTCTCCAAGACCTAATTTTTAAGCTAGAAATAACATTAATCCAAGAAGTCTCAAGAAATTGAACACTGGAAAATATTTTTTCTTTTTTAAATTTGATATAGGACATGTGTGCTTGTCAGAGAGAGACAGAGAGGAAAAACGAGCAAACCCCCTCCCTGGGGATGATCACATCAAAATCCCTTCTCCATTTCTCCCTCCTTTTGGGGTTTTAGACACGCATATAAATGTGGCTGGTGTGGTTTTCAGGTCACTGATTTTGAAACCCAAACCATACTGTCAACCATTTGGGATCCAGCTCTCTTAAAATTCATGCTACTAGTTGGCCTGGAAACATTTTCTAATGAAAACTTACTATAGCATCCATCTTTGCATGACATTTAAAAATAGTATTATAGTGTTATAGTTTGTCTTCTAGAGATAGTACTTTTTAAGAAAGCTTATTTATTTATTTTACATACTTTCACTGAACATCATCAGAGCATACAAAATGTGATTTTCCAGCCAGAATATACCGTAAAGTGGCTTAATCATACATGTTATCGTCAACAAATAATTTTCCATTTGTTGTTTCTTGTATGTGTATATATATATATA